ATTTGCTGATTTGTCATTTTTCCAAAAGATGGAAAATGAAAGACTAATGATAGTGTTGGCATGGCAGTGCAGATTAGACATACCACAATGCAATGCAGCCAACCTCCAGATTTTGCAGCAGAATTTGCTTATTTTCAGTTTTGCAGACACTTAATTTTTACCCTTTTACAATACATTTTTAGCTTTTAGTACGGATTGTGTAAGTTATTTTGTGTTTGTTTGCTCTAATAATGATTTAAAAGTATTTTTAAAGCAAATATTGTTTAGGTAAACATTTGTGCAACTATCACGAGATGTACAAAACCAGCAGCACCATGTGTTCACTCTACTATGTTTTCAGAAAATTTAAGATTTGGACCACCAGAGGTTAAAGGGGAGAGCAGGGCTTGGCAGTAAAGGGGTTAAAGTCACCAAATAATGGCACTAAAATAAACAATAAAATAGTCCTGTTCAGAAGTTTGCACATTTAATTCTTAATGTCATGTATTGCCCCCCAAAGTATCAATGACGGCTTGTAGTCTTTTGTAACAGTGGACAGTGAGGCTTTTTATTTTCTTATGTGGGAAAGGCTTCAGGTTCTGTAAATTATTTGGTTTTCTAGCATAACATGCATGCTTAAGATCTCTCCAAAATGGCTAAATCTCATTGAAGTCAGGAGATTGTTATGGCCACTTCAGAACCATCACTTTTTTCTGTCATCGAACGATGAAAGTGGCCTTATGTTTTGGATCATTGTGACGTTGGAAAGACCAAGTGCATCTTGTCATCAATTCTAACTAAATTACCTGTTCAGCTAAAGCTCACATAACCCTTGAAACTGCTGCTTCTTCTCATACGCCTTGTTGAGTCCTCTTCAAACATAGCATTTATAGTTGTGAACATAAGGTTCAAATTTGGTCTCATCATATACACTTATAGAAATGCACACACACACACACACAGTAACACCAACGTGCAATGACACATTGTTCCCAAATATAAGTGAGAAAACCAAAATAAATCAGTTCATTTAATAATTTATTAAAAAGTGCAACCTTCAATTTGTACTTACAACATTTTTTGGTAAAAGGGCTTGAAACTCCAGGTAAGCGGCACCAAATACTCGTAACTAAGTGGTCTTTTTTGTGATATTGCTTTCCTTTGGGAAACTCTATTAACCTAATGAACAACTGCTAGGCTCCATTCGTGGCACTGCTCTCAGTAGTTTTATAGACTTTTACATGCAAAGGCAAGGGAGTCACCACCGGTATTCATAAGAACACCCTTTTGTACTTTTCGATATGTTGGTTTTGATTTTGTTTTTGTTGATGGGGATAATTTGGCAAGAGTAGGTGGATAGATATGTTCTGTTTCACAGAACTATTATGCATTGTGTGTATGGTTTCTAGTGATCCCCTCTTACTACTTGACTATGCTAATGTGGAAGACTCTGAGACGCAATTGTATGCTATACTGTTTGTGCATCATGTGCTATCTTATTGTTTTATTCTATCTTAAAAATTTAATAAAATACTTTGAAAGTTAGATATGTTGGTTAATAACCATGGGCGATACTTGTTTCTAAAAGGCTCCAATAGTAATTCACCTTGAACATTAGTGCACAGTTCTGTGCTCGATCTCCTGTATCGGAGGGCAGGAGAGACATTCTATCTGTATCGATGCTCCGCTCATCAGATGCAGACAAAGCATTCCATAGGGGGTACTGGGACTACCTCACATCGACCCCCGAGCATTTTGGTCTAGGCTTTAAAATGTTTTCTGGATTTTAGCTTTATATAACTACCCAATGTGTCAGCATAAATGTTATGGAGAGTGAAGCTTTTACCTCTCAAGTGTGCTCTCTTAACACCTATTATTCGCTATATCCCTTGAGCCATTCTTGTGCACTATAATACATAACTCATACATTCATGGGGTACAGGTTGGGCAGAGGGTGCATACATCTACTGCATTCCTTTGAGAGATCCCAAACTTTAAAATAAACCTGAATAAGTTGGAAATCCTCAATCCTATACTACCTCGATTTGGGGTTCAGGCAAAACCTCACTTACCATTCACTTGGAGATCCCGCAAGTTGAAAAATCTGGTTGTCTTTCTCACTCCTTGACTAGTGGATTTATACTCATGGAATTGTCAGAAGATTATTGAAAAAATCCAGGGAGTTTCATTTATCTTCGACCCATGGATTCCATCATACAGGTAATTCAGTAGGATGGTACAAGCTGTCAATCACCCTTAATTTATTGTACGCTGCCAAATCTCTCATTCTATCATTTTGGAAAAATTAACGTCCCAACTTTAAAAGTATGGTAGAGTCGAACAAATTTGTCTCATGGAACAATTAACCCATATTTCTCAAAACACCTATGACCTCTCTAGTAGGATATGTGCCCCCTAGATTTTGTATAAAACAACTTCCTCTTATCTGGAAATAATGTTGGTTCAATCTATTTCCTGATTGAAACTCTAATTGTATATATGTTATTCAGACAACCTATTCGGGCTGGGGTCTGGGTCTTTCCAATTCTACTCTTAGGCCCGGTTCACACCCGGGCGTTTTGTAGCGCATTTGAACGCTCTGCAAAACGCTCAAACACCGAAATCCCATTATTTCCTATGGGTATGGTTCACACCTGGGCGTATTACAGGCCGTATGAACGCGCTACAAAACGTCCTACGCCCAAAGAAGTACAGGAGCTTCTTTGGGGCGTTTTTGTTGCGCGTTTCCATTGGGATACAGCCAAGTAGCCCTCGGAAACGCACGTTTGTCGCGCGTTTTTTTACCATGAATCGCTTGACACGAAACGCGTGACGCGCGTATGAACCCAGCCTAAGGTGCATATATTCGATATGCCTAAGGCTGGGTTCACACCTAGGCGTATCGAATATGCGCGTTTGTCACGCGATTCGCGGTAAAAATACTTGGCTGTATCCCAATGGAAACGCGTGACAAAAACGCCCCAAAGAAGCTCCTGTACTTCTTTGGGTGTAGAACGTTTTGTAGCGCATTCATACGGCCTGTAATACGCCCAGGTGTGAACCATACCCGTAGGAAATAATGGGATTTCGGTGTTTGAGCGTTTTGCAGAGCGTTCGAACGTGCTACAAAACGCCCAGGTGTGAACCGGGCCTTATGCTTTTTCTTCTTCTAATTCTAGTATTTTTTTTCTTGTTTCTCCACTCCCTCTCCTTTCCTATACATCTGTGACTTTTGTAACACAGCTGTGCAGTGCCTTTTTGATGTTTAACTACCGATAACTATTTATTAAACAAATTAAAAGAATAAATAAAACATAGTTGCCAACAAATTCCATGGACAAGTTTTGATGTACATCCACCTAGCCATTGTAGGCAGAAAAAGGCACTTTAATTGAATTCATTTAAAAAGGGCTTGGTTTTACAGTAAAG